CCGCAGTGGTGCAATGCGCCCCCAACCTTAGCCGCCTGCCCTCCTTTGATCCGCCCCCCCTGGGGCCTCCCTCCCGGAGGGCGGGGCCTGGGCTCGCGGGGACCCCCGAGCGGGAGCGCACGGAGGGCTCGGAAAAGGAGCTACCCCCCACCCCTATGTCCCCTGGGCGCCCTGGGGAATCCCACCCGTCTCCCAGTTTCCCCTGAATCCCAGCGTGGGATCCTGGGGGGGGAAGCTGCCAAAGGGTCAGTCCTGGGGGCGCCACTGGGTCCTGAGGCGCCCGAGAGGCCCCTTCCCACCCTGGGCGCTCGCTCCACCCTCCGCTTTGGCGCCCCCCACACCCTCTGACCCGCTCTCCCCTCGAGGTCTGGGGGCGGCGGCTCGGGACGTCCAGACGCAACTCTCGGCCAGAGCCAAAGACTCGAGAATTGCGTTTGGACAATCAAGAGCCGCAGCCCGGGGCGGGGAAGGAGGCGCAGGGGCGCGAGGGGGCAGCGGGGACACCACGCGGAAACAGGGACGGACACACACACGCACGCACACACTCACACACGCCATGGGGCCCCCAATCGGGAAGGGGTGTGCGCTGGCGGGGGGCGGGTGCAGCGGGTGCCTAAGAGGCGGAATGTCTGGAGTGGGAAGTGAGTCCAGCCTCTTCCAGGACTCTTGAGAAAAGGAAAGGGTGGAAGAGGACGAAGAGGCCAGAGGCCTGGGGCACAGCGATCCCCAAAGAGGGCTGGGGGTAAGGGGCATAAGGAAAAGACCTTCCTGGCCTTCCAGGAACCCCCCCCCCCAACACACACCGCCCGGCTGAGCTGGGGCCTCTAGACTTGGGCTGCCGTTACACCTGGGGGTGGCTTGTCTCTGGACAGGGTAGCAATGGGTCCCATTACCCCCCACTTCCCAGGTTCCCCCCTACTTCCCTGTCCTCTCCTTCTGTCCGTGGCCGGTCCTTATGTGGGCTCCAGAGTCGATTAGCTCCGACCCCCTCCCCTTCCTCCTCCTCCTCCCAGCCCCCTTCTGCTCCCCTCCTGCTTCTTTCATCGCTAGTCCATTCCCCTAATCCTGGCCCCCTCCCCTAATCCCCCCCACCCGACCCCAGGCCGGCTGCAGCTATTGTAAAGTGGAGAGAAAGGGGAAGGGGGGACTTAGAGAAAAGAGAAGGGTGGGGGAGGGCCACCTGTTCCAAGACCCCCCTCCAAGGCCAGACTGGACACTGGATGGGGCCATGAATAAATCACCCTTGGGCACCAGAAGGACCCAGGGAGTTGGGACAGGGGGGTGGGGAACTGAGGCTGCAGGACCACGGGTAGGGGGTAGGGCAGAGAC